CCCTTGCACAAAACGACGATCATTTTTGTAATTTCATAGACAACAGAAGACTGTATGTTTTCCACATAACCCCCCTGACTTTAAAGCTGGATCCGCCCCTGCATTTGCCTGAAAATTGCTGCAAATGTTATCCTCCCCCTTAGGCGATTCCTCAGAGAAACACGTCGCAACTCTCTTGAAACCCAATCAGAAGTCTGGCAACCGTTGCTGATTTTTCAGGTGCACCAGCTATGCGCCGAACTAACGGGAATGATGCAACGCGAGCGGGCAAAAACGGCCGGCGTTTTGCAGCTGGAGCGAAAAGGCGACCGAAGGCGTCGGTTCCTCAACTGGAAAAAAGTGGACCGGCGCAACAGGCCCGGCACCCAAAGCTCCAGCCCTGAGCAGAGCCTGACCAGCCCTGAGAGTCCGCCGAACATCCGCCCGCCCAAACGCTGCAGTTGCACTGAGTCGCCCAACGGTTCCGTGCAAAAGGCCGCCCTCTACACCACCCTGAACCCCGCCACTGAAACGGTGACCACGCAAACCTCGACTGGGTCCTACAAGAAGCGGCATCACCGCACCAACTCTGGATCGCCGCGCAGCTCCGGGTTCGGGTCCAGAGCCTCCAGTTGTCGCGCCTCCATCGTGGTGGACGCTGAGACTCAAACAGGTACCAGTCGCGTTATCTCGCTCGCACTCCACAGTTTTAGCATGCGTGTGTCTCTGTCCAGATGGGATGGACATTAGCGAGACTGACCTGAGCAGTCCCACAGTGAGCTGCAACAACACGCTGCTCTGCAACACTGGCAACGCCCAAAAGGTCATTCTGCAGCAGTTTGAGGACGATGAAGGCCAGAACGGCAACAGCGTCCAGCTGCACTACATGGTGCAGCATGCTCAACACGGTAATTCTTTGACTGTTCAATGATTTCAACGGTGTTCAACAACGGTTTTCCGGTATGCAGCCATTCCGATCTTCACGCGCATGGACTCGCGCCCCTCCAGCCCGATAATCTTCGACACAACGGACGACGCGACCAATCGCAACATCGACACACCGGAAGTCTCAAGTGAGGAGAACTTGGAGGCAATCAGCCGAAAGGTGGCTGCAATTACGATTTGCAGCCCGGAAAACGGCAATATTGGGGACAATCTGTGCGAAATCATCCGGAATCGGACGCTGTCCGATTGCAGAGTGGGCCTGGACAGGGACAGCACGGAGGACGCGGCCAATGAGGACAGCATTTCGGAGGACGATGCCGAAACGTATAATCACTCATTGAGGCGTCGGAGGTGAGTGAATGTTGGCCAATTTTCTTTTAATAAGGGAGGACTTTTTGGTAATAATGTAGGTCTGCCTCTGTTGGCTTGCGATAATAAAAGAGTACTCACATTAGGGATGGGAAAAAACATCGATGTAATTCCTTCGATGCCTAAGTCACATTGTAGATGATCTCTTTCCGTGCACGTCTCTTGATGAAATTTCTGCCGAAAATTACGGTTTCGGCCACAATCACAACGTTTTGGTTCGGAAAATATGTTTGACAGAACAGCGGAAACCGAACTGTGACAGCCATAAATGGCACAGGCTGGCAAACTTTATTGTTTTTAACCATGCTGTCACGTCTATATATTTGTTTTTATTGGACGCATTTTGAAGCTATTTGAGTCAGTTTGATTTTATTTGGCTTCTTGTTCAGTTTAGAATTTTATGCGTTTCACGTTTTGTTACATTTGGTTTTCTGTGGAGGTTCGCTATTTTTCTGGTGAATGATTGGTAACCCTGTCTGTAAAACGGCATTTCCGCCAGAAATTGTACCAAGCAAAAGTCTTGTTAAAAAATTGAACGGGATAATATAGTGTGTGAGTACTTGTTTATTATCGGAAACAGACAATTACCGATTTTTACCAATAATTACCGTATTTGTTTAGCAAACCGCTGAGGGAGGCACTGAAGCCCAGGTAAAATTGCGCAAATGCTTCCTAGCTATCTATACGGGGGGTGATTCAAAGGAAGTTCCCCTTAAAACAGGAACAACGACAATTTTGAATCACTCTGTTTACACATACCTATAGGGCAACAATATGAAAAAACAGAGAAAACATTTTATCAGCGTATGACAAAACAAACGTTAGATGTAGGAAGTTAAAATTATCTGCACATGAAAAGGTTGACAAGGCACTTATTAAGTGATTTACTCAAAAAAAACAAGAAAACGTTCCCATAAGGGGCAAAAACAAAGAGTTTGCTTGTTCTAAAAGTTGGGAAGAGCGTTTCAAGAAAAGGCATAATATCAGTAGCGGAAAAATTGTTGGAGAGTCTGCCGGTGAAAAATTCTTCTTATGGAAACGTTAGAGGCGATCGATAAAAATGAAACATTTTCTATAAATCTCTTAGATGCAGTCAATTTCATTCATAGAGCTTGGCGAAAAGTTAGCCGAAAAACCATTGTAAATTGCTTTAAGCATG